ACACACACACACTATTTGGTCACTGTACCCAACATAGGTGTATATAGCATACTGGTAAAATCCTATGTACCCCGAATCCTGAAAATTGCATTACATTAGCCAATTAGAGATTGCAATTTTGGCAAATGCTTGGAAATCTTGTGTAAAATACAAATCGGGCACAAAATGGATCACTAAATGGATGGTGGACAGGTACCGGATGCATGCGATTTATGGGAAATCTGATCAATGGAAATGATTTAAACGTACCCTTTTCCACACTTGATATTTGGGTTGTCTGAGAGAAACATGGGGAGGAAGCGCATGAATTCAGTACCATTAGGCCTCTGTTTCCCACTAGTGGTCATAGGTCTGCAGTGAACACAGGTCTTATCCACCACTGATGGAAAGAAACATCACAAAAAAAAAATAAATAAAAAAAAAATAAAAATAAAAAGATACAGGACAATAGTTAATCCAAAAATAAAAATTCTGTCATCACCTTTTGTGTTTTACAAAAATCAAATAGGTTTGTAATTGTGGGTGAGTAAAAGACCGTATTTTTTTGGAAGTACTATCCACATAATCTGATACTAAAAAATGCTTTGATTGTGATGGTATATTTACATATATCATGACACATAATTTCCATTTAAATATATTTAGGTTCAAAGACCCAAGAATAGTGTGATCTGTACAGTGGCTTCTGAAGTGAAAATTCAATAACTAACAAACCCCACCCTGGATAAAGGTCCTCTGGGGCAGTGGAGGTCAGGGCTCTGTTGATTCGGTGGATAATGGTTTACCTGAAGCATTGCAGAAAGCTCCGGTGGTGTTATAATATCTGCAGCAGGAGGACTGCGGCTTCACCCAGTCAAAGTAGTCGTCCAGCCAGGACGATGGAACATTGTTGATCTTGGTACTAAATTTACAACAAAATATGGCTTTATTGATTTGACAAAAGTTATTCAAAAGCTGAAAGCAGTTGGTAAATTCAGCACTTCAGAATTTCCGAAACTTACATGACTGACAAAAAGCCAAACACTATGTGTTTACTGCATGGTTACTATAGTTAACTAAAACCAAAAACATTTTTCTACTTATTTAAAAAAAATAACTTGGTTTTCTAAAATAAACAAAAATTCATAAAAAAAAAAAAAATTATTTAATGTGACAAACTATTTTTTCCTCTCACAATTTGCAAAGTCATGGCATTGTATGTTGGTAGTTTTATGTGTATTGCAGTCATTGCACTATAGGGCTGTCAAAAAAAATAAAAGCTGAAAGCAGTTGGTAAATTCAGCACTTCAGAATTTCCGAAACTTACATGACTGACAAAAAGCCAAACACTATGTGTTTACTGCATGGTTACTATAGTTAACTAAAACCAAAAACATTTTTCTACTTATTTAAAAAAAATAACTTGGTTTTCTAAAATAAACAAAAATTCAAAAAAAAAAAAAAAATTATTTAATGTGACAAACTATTTTTTCCTCTCACAATTTGCAAAGTCATGGCATTGTATGTTGGTAGTTTTATGTGTATTGCAGTCATTGCACTATAGGGCTGTCAAAAAAAATTAAAATCCACATTTGAATTTTAGTTGATGTTAGTTTCGAGATGCGATGACGATGTAAGTGTCGTTGCATTATAATGTTTTTGTTAGCCTATCCAGTTGAAGCCACTAGATGCGGCGCTGCTGGCGTTGTTCATTAAAAATATTGTGGAAAAAGAGAACATCAATGCGGAGATCTTGTTTACATCAAAACTGAAAACAAGCCGTTCACGCAGAACACATATTTCACGCATTTTCTAGAGGGATATCTATCACCACTGCACTCGCATCTCGCACAAAGGAGCCGCATGTTTAGAAAGCCATGTAAAATTTATGCAAGTTCAACTTTGAAAAAAACATACATTGAGACTTTATGGCGGGTTTTTTCCTCATCCCACTGCATCTCATGTTTTTAAATGAAAAACGAACGGTGCGATTGGCTTTCTGCCCTTTCTATTAAACGATGCATACATACATACATGATGCCGTTTTGTTTATAGTTGTTTTAGCAACTTAATTATAATTGGTTTATACACATTATTTTAAACATTATACACTTTTTTCACAGATAGTCATGTTATCTAATGCGAATAAACGTACATTAGTAATATTTTGCTCGATGCGCCCTCTTTGTGGCCTCAGAAGAGAAGCCAAAAGCTTTTCTTCATCCTAACTGAAATTATGCATTTTAAATTCGAATTTTGATAATATTTAAGTACAAAATTCAAATGTTGTTTTTCAGCTAATTTGACAGCCCTACTGCACTAGCATATATATATTTTTTTTAATTAAAGGAGACTTAAACGAGTACCTCTAGCGAAGCAGTGTGAAGAACTGCTGCTGGTATAAACACAAGCATTGACTAGAGTGGCCCGGTGGCCGTGTTGGAGCTGTAATGTGCCGCAGATGTGTGCAGTGTAAATAAGGGGTTATCCAAACATTAATGGCAAGGAAAGCCCTTTATACTTCAGAGCGGCCACGTATGAGGTGTTGCTTGGAGGTTACAGTATGTTAAAGAACGATTGTGACTTTTACGCGAGACCTGGAAATGCAAGAAAAAAAAAAACTGTTTCCATTGCAGTTTTGTGATATATTCCTTTTTCAAATATTCTGAAAAACCACCTCATGCAAGCATAAAAACTTTTTTGCGATATATGGACGTTTTTGCAAACTCTACATTTTTTCAATTAGGCGTATTTTCAATTCACAATTTCAATTTGCGCATTTTGAAGGGTAATGAAAGTGAGGGTACTGATACCAAAATAAGACTGCTTTACTGAAAGTAAATTTTCTCACTGGAAAGGGTGTCAAAAAGTGTCACTCACAAGTTATTCAAGAGAGATGCGGTATAAATTTGTTGGACTAGAGAGTTGTTGTTGCAACCCACTCCGCCACACACTGCGTTCTGACCCTCTGAGGTTTTGTAGTCATGTCCATCCTCTACCACAAAGTAAACTGGCGCCCCAGTGTGCAGGTACTCACTCAGATTTCCAAAATAATCCAGCACATAGGAGTCCTGTGAGATGGTAAAGATTTATGTTCACAATGACAACTATCAGGTTTTTTAGAATGCAAATATGTTTGAAGGGAGAGAATGGGTATATACGTACATCAGGCATGGACAATCTCTGATCAAGTCCAATCTCCACTTTATTAACAACGGCTATACTAAATGACAGCATTCCCACAAACACAGCAACCTGCAAAAGAGAATCAAAAATTCTGAAAAATGCCAAACTAGATCAAATCTATTTGTACTAAATTTCCATGTTTATGTAGCTTAACTGTTATACAGTAGCAGTTGCATCACAATTATTCATTTATTTTATTATTTGCTTTATATTACATCATTCATAATTAGTGCTGTCAAATGATTAATCACATCCAAAATAAATGTTTTTGTTTATATTATATATGTATGTGTACTGTGTACACTTATTTTGTATATATAAATACACACACACATACAGTATATACATTTTGAAAATATTTACAGGTTTATACATTTATAGGTTCATATTCTTATATTTAATATTATATATACATATATTTAATATATAAACATGACATTTTTCTTAAATATATACATGGATGTGTTTGTATTTATATATACACATAATATACACAGTATACACATATTATGTAAACAAAAACTTTTATTTTGGATGCGATTAATCGCAATTAATCGTTTGACAGCACTATTCATAATGCATTAAAGTGTAATAAAAAATGTTTTTGTCTTGTTTCTTTACACTTACCACCAGGGGGCGCACCCAATCCTTCAAGATGAAAGGAGCATATAGCTTCTTAAAAAAGTGGAACAGACAACCTTCTGATTTTCCCTGCTGTCCCTCAGACAACTTCACACAGCACAATATATCTGGACGATTTGCCTGGGAAACAAAGAATAAAAAAGAAATTAAGCCACATATCTGAAGCATCTCAAATCATTACATATTGAAACAAAAAGTGATTGATTACCCACTGTAGTTTTATTAAGCACTTTTTTTATTTTTTTTTATTTTTTTTTTTAAGTATGAAATATGTTGCTGTGAATTATAATGTAATATTAAACTTTTTTTTCTGTTCGTCTAATTCTGTTTTCTCCCACAGATAGTACTGGTGTGACCTTTGACCTCTCACCTCTTGTCTTTTGATGTCCAGGCCCAGCAGAGACACAAAGCAGCTGATCTGCAGAAGGAAGTCAATGAAGACGGCCAGACCAGCGAATAGAGAGAACGTCCTCACTGCAGGCATGCTAGACAGAGCACCTGGAGACATATGCAAATAGGAAAACTATAGTCATCTGGAAAGGGAAATGAGAGTCTCACTTTATGAAAGCTCCTTTGTCATATGTAATGCATATTATTGACAGTTTAAAAAAATATATATATTTATATTGCACAAAAAACGTTTTACATATTTTATACTAATACTTCTGCAGATCTTATTCTGCCAAGCGGAAAAATAATAAAGTGAGAGTCTCACTTTATGAAAGCTCCTTTGTCATATGTAATGCATATTATTGACAGTTTAAAAATATATATATATTTATATTGCACAAAAAACGTTTTACATATTTTATACTAATACTTCTGCAGATCTTATTCTGCCAAGCGGAAAAATAATAAAGAAAGAAAGATAACAAGTCTGAGGATGGCATACCTAAAAAGAAAGCAACAGTCTCAGAGAAGGAAGAGAGGAACATGCTGGGAGCCACCTCTCCGAGGATACGTCCAATCTGCTGATGAAGCTCCTCCTCAGGCATTCGCTCATCCCTCTGAAGAAAAGAAAAATTTATTACTTGGCAGTTTTGTGAAGGCAAACGATCTCATCCATCATCAATCTTAAAAACACTAAAGTGAAAACAAAATTACCATTTAAAAACAGGAACTAAAAGGTGCTCGTCTCAACTATTTTAGTGAGTCAGGTGACATTAACGGTCAACAAAAACAGTCATGTTGCAGCTGAATCTGCTCTCAGGAAACACCACCCACCTGGTAGGTTTGTACAATGATGAAGATGTTGTCCACACCCACAGCCAGCACGAGGAAAGGAATGACCTCTATGACGATAAGTGTTAGAGGGATGCCGATGTAGCTGAAGATACCCAGTGAACATGCGACCGAACTCAACACGATCAGGATACCGGCGATACCCAGAGAGATCTTAGAGTCCACCTGTGAAACGTGTAAAAATGCAGAGTTTAAAATAATTAGGCATGGAAGGCCAGCCTAAAGATGCATGCACAGGTCACACAGTCAAGTAAAAGAACAGAGTTCACAAACAAAAACGAATGATGCGTCACAAATGAAACGTGTCGATTGTGAAACTACATTTACAGTAGAACCTTAATGTAGTGCAGATGCGGGATACAGCATAGCCAAGCACTGAAAAATTAACACTGAAATTGTAAGTGTATATTGCTTGTATGAGTGTATAAGGTTTATAGCATATTCTTTTGAATCAAGCAGTATCTATATTAGTGCTGTCAAACGATTAATCACAATAAATATACACAGTACACACATTATGTAAACAAAAACTTATTTCAGATGTGATTAATTGCGATTAATCGTTTGATAGCACTAATCTATATTTTTCATTTTGCATCATTACCAAACAAACATTTCGAAATGCTGTCACAGCATCAGAATTAAGGCCACATTTAGAATAAAGACATTTGAGGGTCTTACCAGCACTGTCCAGAAGCTGTTAATGTGTCCCAGAGCCAGTGAGATGTAGACAAACATGATGACGTAGCTGATCACGATGGTGGTGACATCACTGTTGCTCTCACGGTTGATCTCATCTTCAATGCTGCGCTCCGTACTGAATGAGATGGTCAGGTTGGGGTTGTCATAGTTCTTCACAAAGTCGATAAACCTGTAGAGGTATGGGCAATGGCGGTTACTCCTGAATATATTGTATATGACCACAAAAGGGTTGCCATTCTAGATCAAACTATTCAGTTTTATAACATTTTCATAAAATATTTAGCCATAAGATATATAAAACAGATCATTTAATCAAACCTACACTTTCTCCCATGCTAAAGCTTTGCCTATTTTGTCTGTGTCATTCAGGTAGTTGTTGACAGGAAAGGTGATCACTAGAGCTGTGGCGTTGTTGTAAGCAGTACCTATATATGAAAGAAGACAAACCAGAAAAATTTAAAAAGTTTTTTTTAAAATTACAATGGGGAAAAAGACAATTACATAAGCTAAATTAAAGACCATTACTAGAGTATTACTATTACATACTAGATATGACTTGGGTCAAGAAAAACGTAAACAAAAATCACGTTAAGACAGAGAGGAAAAAAAATAATAATAATAAAACAAAAAAACTGCATTCATTAGTAATATAGCCAGTAAGAATGTTCTTCCAAAAGCACTGCCTTAAGTAGAGGTTTGTGTTCAGTTTTTTTAAAGAAATAATTATTTCATCAAGCAAGGATGCATTGAATATACTGAATGCATCACAGTTTCCATAAAAAAAAAAAAAAAAAAAAAATATTTGAACACCGATAATAATAATAAGAAATATTTCTTGGCAACAATTTTATTTTTGCTGGTTTTACTTTATTATGATAGGACAGTAATTAGACAGGAAGCGTAATGGAAGAGAGAGGGGGGGGGACAGGATTGGGAAAGGTCCACGAGTCGGGACTCGAACTCGGGTCGCCCGAAGCGCAATGGCGCTAAATGTCAGCTACTGGCATCGACTAAAAACATTTTTAAAGTCTTACTGACCCCACATTTTCAAAAGGTAGGGTATGTTACCAAAATGAGATCACAATGACGTCTTTGTTCTATTGTATTTTATGTTTATTTCAGTCAAACTAACCCTCATATCCACCAAGAGCAAGCCAGGGGAAAACTGGTCCTCCAAATGTACCCATGCAGGCGTCATGCAAGGGGCTTGTGTCATCCAGGGCCGTGGGAGAACTAAGACCAAAGCAAAAGACAAGAAACAATTTAAACAAGAGTTTATTCGGTTTAATCCACGTTTAAGTTTAACAAATGCTTTATGAATAACAACAGAGTGCCGGAGGGAAAACATATTTTTGCATTTTGTTGAAACAAGGTAGCATTTCCAGTTCCATAGTCCTGAAGTCAATGGTTTTTTTTTTGATGGGTTTTTCTTAAATGCCGAATTAAGGTCAGTGGCTCACATTATTCTACAACATAAAATACATCAGCAATCAGCAATTTATACATTTGTTTTTAAAAGTCTGAATTGCATTTAGGCTTTAAAATTCATAAAAGTTGTATTCATTTGATAGTATTGTCATGATGAAGAAAAAGTATATAAACTGTTGCAGGGAATCAGGTAATACTAACGTCCAGGGTGGCTTACAAAATTACATCACCACTGCATCACTCTATTAATCCAAAAGATTAAGAAAAAAAGAGCAGAGCTCACCTGGCACAATACAGAAAATGAGTGTGGTAGTCAAAGTAGACATAGAACTCATCAGCAATCTCATGATTCAGGACTTCATGGCTGTTTTGGTAGTAGTTTAACACACTTAGGATGGTACAATTGTCATTGTAAGGAGCCAGTGGAGAAAGACAGATGTCTTTAAGAGTAACCGTCTCTCCCTTATATTCAGCTGTTAGGTTTGTAATTGCTGTCTGAAGATCCAACACCTACATCCAACAGAGCAAGACTTGAGTATGGTGCATGGAGGATTGACTGAATGATTCAAACACTACAAATATTATCATTGTGAATGATGCAACATGCAACTTAAATGCTTTCAAAAAATTACAGTAAAAAATATATTTTACAATGGCTTCGAAAGCATTTGGACACTTAGGTCACAATTTAAAAATGACTTGCCTGATGGAGGAGTGTTATGTTCAGAATGGAGGAGAAGTGGATGTCTGGTCCAGAGGTGGGTGAAAAAACGAACGATGCATTCACCGGGGTGGTGATGATGAGCTGCTCGGTGCGGAAAAATGGTCCGAAGTGCTGGTCGAAATAGTCCTTCTCCTGCCTGGCCCTACTGCTGGGAGACGACCAGAGCTCCACCGGGTTGGTTGTGATGCGCATGTAGGTCAGTCCGGCCGAGCAGATGGACACCAGCACCACACTGGTCAGGATCACGGTTAAGGGGTGCCGCACACACAAGGAGCCCCAGCTGCTGAAGAGGACACGGAGACAGTTCTCAAAACGCTCGCCCAGTGTCTCGCAGCATGTAGCATCACCTAAGAAATAAGGACGACATTCAGTGAGGACCTGAACTGAGAACTTCTGTTACACATGTAACCCTCGTTCCCAGAAGGAGGGAACTGAGATGTTATGTTGACACTGAGGTGAGGGGTCTACTAGTGACTGACTGAAAGAGAACCGTGTTACTGGATCACAGAGATGAATTTCAGCACCACTGTTATAAACAAATGCATTATGAAATTATGAAATAAATATTAATTTTAGCAAACAGTTTCCAGGGCATCTTTTTAAAAATCTAATTCAAGACTTTAAGACCATAAAGAAAAAGCCCATACAATCACAAAATAATGAATGCATCTCAGACCATTATACGCAGTTAAACTGACATCTAAACAGTCATGTAGTGAAATTGCTTTATGCACCATAAGGACGACATTCAGTGAGGACCTGAACTGAGAACTTCTGTTACACATGTAACCCTCGTTCCCAGAAGGAGGGAACTGAGATGTTATGTTGACACTGAGGTGAGGGGTCTACTAGTGACTGACTGAAAGAGAACCGTGTTACTGGATCACAGAGATGTGTGAATTTCAGCACCACTGTTATAAACAAATGCATTATGAAATTATGAAATAAATATTCATTTTAGCAAACAGTTTCCAGGGCATCTTTTTAAAAATCTAATTCAAGACTTTAAGACCATAAAGAAAAAACCCATACAATCACAAAATAATGAATGCATCTCAGACCATTATACGCAGTTAAACTGACATCTAAACAGTCATGTAGTGAAATTGCTTTATGCACCAATATACATATATATATACACATATAAATCAAAGAAGATAAATCAAACAGATAATTGTGCAGTAATAGTAAAACGTGTAAATGTGTGACAGGGCGAACCAGAGACCAGCTGTAAGATTTTATGTTGAATTAAATGCCAGAATTTATTACGGAATAAGCAATATCAATAATAACCGAAACACTATGCCTAAAATAGGACTTTTAATAATAAACAACCTCAAAATAAACCAGGACTCTTATAAAAAAATAATAATTAGATTTAGCAAACAGTTTCCAGGGCATCTTTTTAAAAATCTAATTCAAGACTTTAAGACCATAAAGAAAAAACCCATACAATCACAAAATAATGAATGCATCTCAGACCATTATACGCAGTTAAACTGACATCTAAACAGTCATGTAGTGAAATTGCTTTATGCACCAATATACATATATATATACACATATAAATCAAAGAAGATAAATCAAACAGATAATTGTGCAGTAATAGTAAAACGTGTAAATGTGTGACAGGGCGAACCAGAGACCAGCTGTAAGATTTTATGTTGAATTAAATGCCAGAATTTATTACGGAATAAGCAATATCAATAATAACCGAAACACTATGCCTAAAATAGGACTTTTAATAATAAACAACCTCAAAATAAACCAGGACTCTTATAAAAAAAATAATAATTTGAAATTACATTAAAAAAGTAAACATTTACATAAAAAAAATAAAAAAAATCTATGTATCATTACTCCCAGCTGCTCATTCAAAAAAGTAGTCATAAAATGCAATTTTACAACCAACATACTAAAATGTAAAAAAAAA